GGCGAGCTACCCTTACTCGCCGTCCGCAGACAAACGCTTATGGTTGCTGGACATAGTCTTTTGATCGGCCAAAATGTGCTTATGGTATTTTCTCACTATAATATACCTACACGTCGATGTTTAGCTTTTTCTTCGTTTCCGATTGGTTTTCAAACTATTAAGTTAATTTAGATGAAGTACAATTTTATACGGTCCTCTGTGTTTATTTGAGATTCATCTTGCCAAGGATGTAAGTTTTTGAGCTGTCTAGACTACTAGAGACTTAATTATCGTGCTCAACACCAAGTAGGTATTGTTACGCGACGTTGTAACAGTGAGCCTCTTAACTCCTAAGTATTATGATAAAGTTACAATTATCACATTGACATTCAATATATATCATAATTATTAAACACTAGCGGCCCGCCCCCGCTTCGCACGGGTCCTACTATCTCTCTATCAAAGGGTCACTTTTTCCTGGTGTTCTCCTCTACTTTTCTAATATTTTCTTTGAAAAGAACCTTCTCCTGATAATAACAAACACAACAAAAAAAGAATTAGCAAAATTGGTTCAGGCTTTGTTGAGTTATGCGCTTACCAACACATTTTGCGATCCATTTTTATATATAAGAAGATTGGTTTACTAAGGCGGTAAGTTAAGTTGCCAATACCAAATCAAGTTTATTTTTATGTGGTAAAGTGGCAAACGAGCGTACGTGTACCTAACCTGATGGTAAGCAATCAGCGCCACCCATGGTCAGTAGAGGAGTTATGATTGCGTCGCCGTTTTGCGTCACCCGTTGACATACGCCACACCGTAGGTACTGGAAGTGCGCTATCAGCCTTTTGGGGATAAGGGTTTTGGGAGGGATGGGTGAAGCGGAAGGATTGGGCCTTCGGTAACTTCACCTACACGGCTAAATACAATACTGTTACAATGGTGTTGATTCATAGTGGTTTTCAGTGAGGCCGTGGTAACACTCCGGTCGAGCCGGTCCATTCGTTTTGAAGCATGGCTCTCCCGCACTCAAGTCATCCCCCCTGCTCCAGATCGGGGAACAGGTACATTATTGCGTTTAACCAGTGAACTCGGTAATATCCAAAACCTTTACCTAAAAAACGAGAATACTCCATCTTAAAAGGCCCGCGCTTGACCCGCAATCCCGGCTGACCTACTGCGCTTTTTCTTGCATTGGTAAGTAAAACGTAAGTAGTAAGATGCAATGTTTGATATCCAGATTAAAGTACTTCCTTAGAAGCATATGAAGATATGTTTTCTGTCTTATTGTGACCAGCCTATCAAATCAATGGCCACTAGTGGTCGATATAAATAAGTAAATCCCTTTGCAGATGTACTTCTTTAATCACTAATTATAATATAAGTTTTACAATAATTGAGTGTGTTTTCGTCGCGACTATTAGAATGGCAGTGGCCGGAAGGCGCGCAGCTCGAACCTCTCGCTCGCGCTACGGATGCGTTCCATTCACGACGAAGAATGAAGCGTTTCGGCGTAGACAGAGTAGGGATATTCCCACACGGAGAAGATTTGAGCATTAATTACCACGCTTTGTCAATTGGTTTCCATAATTTTCCTTCACCATTTGTCAGCTAGGTCGGTTTCAAAAATCTTCGAAAATAGTTAGGTACTAATATATTATAACTGGGAAAAAATCACATTGGTACCTAGTACCTGCAAGGTTTTGAACGCCGCGACTTCAAGCGGTTGCGATACCTACCGCCACGGTATAAATATGTTTACTGTGCTACCGCGGCCCCGGCTCGTAGCAAGAGAAGGAACGGGACGGTTTTTTGTCAAAAGAGTCTGACACCCGGTTTCTGAAAGGCTTGTCAACGCTGAAATTAACTAATCTCCTGTTAAATCTCTTGTCAAGTCATCTGATTGGTTGTTGATAATTCAGTCAACCAATCAGATGACTTGACAAGAGATTAAATTGATTTTAACATTGATCGGCCTTTCGGAAACCGGTTGTGACACTCCCTCTCACCCTGCTAAGGCAGGAAGAAGCCACTTGTCTTGATGTGTTGCTCTTTTAGTTCAAAAAAAGGTTCGAAGGATTTAGAAAGAATTAATACCTATCACCTATACCTATAAGCGAAACTGTAAAGGCCGCTAGTAAGTAGATTTATTTTTATTTTAAACTTTCTACATGATATAAATAAGTCACCAAGTTATCTCTAAAGAGATTATTTAAGAAATATAAGAGAAACCCGGTCGTCGACCCTATTGTTCCGATTACAGAGACCAAGGTCACAGAAAGTTTTATCTGAATAAAGAAAATAAACACTATCACTGTGAGTTAAATGTGATTTTTGAATAAACTGTAAGGTCAGAGATATTGCTGAGGTTAAATTCAGATTGAGGAGTTGTTTTAGCGACCTCGGGGGTTAACCATGCGGTCGTGAGTTTAAATACCCGTTTGGGTAAAGTGCATTGTAATTTTATCAGCCTTTTTAGGTTTCGTAGTGTCTTGGTAGCCCGGAGGTTAAGATGCCCGCTTCTCATGCTCTTGCATTAGGTCCATGAGGGTTACAAACCTGTTATGTACCTACGTACAAATGTGACTTCTATGATTACAGACACAAATGATATAGGTACTGTAAAGGAAAACATCGACGAAACCTTTATAAAATGACATCTCTCGCCCAGGGACTGGCGCGAGGAAGAGTTAGACTCTTACAGACTAAACACCCAACCGTTCCTACTCCTACTCCAACCCGAGACCGCGGTACCTTAATGCGCTTGACCCTCGACCCCGGCAGCCCCATCTGTGCTGGTCTACCGTATCCTCCGGGTGGTCCTCACAATGACGACACTCAAGTATTTCCTTCCGCCGGATCCGAAACAGGAACCTACCGAAGCTGCCGTGCCCGGTGTCAAGTGAAAGGTAAGGACGTCATGGCGTATCTCAAGCCATACCTCGAAGAAGGATCTTGCTGTTGCTGAAAAGCATGCCCAAACAGGTTGGCACAGGCGTTGCTTCCACTCTGCCATGAGATCGCGAAGAGGCCTTTGCTTACCAGTTGAATTGCAAAGGTAACATGACGACATAAATTAAATTGGAACTAGCTACTCCTGCGCAGTTACATATTGGTCGTAGCGTGATATTTTATAGCTTGTAGTTCTCACATCACACAAAAATAATTGAGTCATAAGGGCAGCACCCATTGCTTACGATCAGGTGATCCGTCTGGTCGTTTGCCGCTAATGCATATTGCACGGTTGGCGCAGTGGCTGGGCAACTGGCTGCTATGCAACGTGTCGCGGGTTCGATTACCGCACGGAACGACTCTTTGTGTTATCCACAAATTGTTGTTTCGGGTCTGGGTGTGTTGTGTGTGTGAATTTGTGTTTGTAAACGCATCCACGACAGAGGAAAAAATCCTAGAGGGGGGCAAAGTTTTGAAAAAAAAAATGAAATATTAAAAAGTTTTAGAATATTGCCTAATAACCCCCATCATAGCATAAAAAGGTGTGGCATAATTAGTTTAGAAGTTTTATTTATAACCTTCACCGAAAGATGGCGTTAAAATAAAAATTAATATTCAAAGACAAATATTTTTATAATAATCACATTTATCACAAATTTAAATAGGTATTGTGTAAAATATTTTGAGTTATAAATAATTTAATAGTTGCTTAAATTTATTTATGAAGGTAATTATAGTTACCACACATACATACGACTATAAAAAAACAACTTTTAGGTATAGGGTCGGTAGTATAGCGCCAACATTTATAACGAAAAAATTAGGTTGTAATCTATCCAGGACAAACTTAACACAGAGCGGTCAGAACTGGTAACTTTTTAGCAAATCTGACGCCAGAATCATCTCAATCATGTTTAGAGAACAGGCTCAGTAGTTTCCCTTAGATTAGAAAAGGGAGGCACGCGGTCATGTCTAGCGGGCTACTGCTGCACAGACGTACGTTGAGATTTTCTATACGTTTAAATTCTGTGCAAACTTCGTAGGATATAGTGGTACTCAATAACATTGTCGCATTGGTCGCATATGAGCTAAGTAGAATGTTGTTTACAGCGCCATCTACCGGTAACACTTTGTACCACGTTGTCGCTACCACAATGTGTTTTTCTCAATGTAGTGTCTAATTTAATTCAGATTGCACTAATCCACACGTTAACAACATTACATAGATGCTAGCACATCAAGATTTTAAACTTTAATTTATTGGCAATAAATTTAAAAATCTATTGTTTATTTTTCTACAAATAAAGCAATAACAGCCCAGCACTAGTATCTCCATCCGCACCGCATTCAACGACTAAGCGTTCGAATCGTTGACTACCATTATAATATCTCAGACCGGGCTAGACTTTTGAGAAGAGATGTAGCCTCGCTATGCATTTACTGTCGCCTAAAACCACAGCACTAAGAAATATTCGTTTTGATCCTCGACACGTCGTTTCGCTATCAACCCACGCGAAAACACTCATTCCCATTATATAGATGGTTGGCAGGGATATACCGTACTTATAACGAGTACTACCTTATAAGAGCACAACTTTGGAATGGGCTTTCGGCTTCGCTTGCTTCTAAACTTTGAAGAAACGAGTCTACACCTTTTTACATGGCCGGCAACGTGCCTTTGACTCTAGCTAGTGTTACAAGGGTCCATGAGCGGCGCAGATCAACTGCCATTATTTATCCTATAAAAAAGTTATCAAACTTATTACCTATTATACTTTTGACTTGCCCTTTAGGTAGGAAAATGCTGGAACTTTATAGTTTGCTAGTACTAGTACTAGCTAACTACGTAGATTGATCAAATCATCACTGCAATCAAAACTGTTTCCAATAACAAGATATCACTGTTTCTAGGCCTGGTTTAGGATTTCCGAATCAGTAAATTGCCAACAACTTTTCGATATGCTAGCATCTAACCTAAACTTTAATAAATACTGCGATCACAAAATTCAACAACGAAGCACGATAAAAACGACACCATATTAAATAAATATTGGCGGCAATTTTGACAACTGTCAAATGGAATGTTTTTTTTTTCTAGCTCTTGGTCGTGGCTCTGTCTAGTTGTGCCAGTTGGTGAGCAATCCGTTCTTCCCGAGCTCGTCTCGCCTGGCCGAGACCTCGTTTCTCTGCGAATTTCGCTATGAAAGTCTCCACTGGCATTTGACCTGAAAATTGAGATAAATATAAATATAGATATGAACACTAAAATTATTGACAGGTAAACATTTTTTATTCGCTGAAAAATTTAGGTACTGCATACAGCAAATCAAATATAACTTTTACAAATCAGTGAGTCGACATAAGGCATATGGTTGAGTAATTAAGTTCAATGTATTAATTATGCAGGGCAAATAGGGAAATAGCCAAATCAAGTTAGAAAAAGTTCCTTAAAAGCATCACTTTTCTATTATCTAGTATCTATTGCATGGCCGCAATTAAATTACTATCAAATATACATTATAAATTACCAAATACTTGGAAAGATTCAAGAATTGTACTATTTTATTTTATTTATTTGGCTCACCAACAATTGTTTACAAGATAAAATATTATTAAGATTTCATAATTTCTAATATAATAGTTCTTACTTGATATTTTTGCAGAAAAAATACAAATAAGAAGAACATTAAGGGCTGATTCACAATGGTAAGATAAAAGTTACCTGGGGAATAATTATGATGCTGTTGCTTCAGAATGTTTGTATAAGACAGTGACAGCAACAATTTTATTCCTTAGATAACATTTATCTGACTATTGAAAAATCAGCCCTTAAATTTAATATTGAAATTAATAAGTATAAATAAATGTGAATGAGATATATGACCTATAGACCCTTTGTGTACCCATATTTGCAAAAATAATACATTCTATTCTATCGGGTACCATGTAATATTTAGAGTGCATAAAATAATTTTTTATCATGGCCCGTGGCTTGGAGCATAAAGCGCTCCACTTCTTATGCAAGAGACGTTAACTGTTAACTCCAAACTTAGCAAGAACCTATGTCATTATTTTGTCAAAAAAAAATATTGTGAAGGAACTTAAACTTTTAAATTTTAAAAGACACCGGCGCAATTTATTACCATTATCAATAAGTAAACAATGGAGACTCGTTAGATAACGAAAAAAAAAATTTATTAAATTCAGAAGTGTTAACAAGAGGTTTTTGTATAGCTGATAAATATGATTAACGACAAACAATTTTTTAAGGAGTGCCCAGACTCAGTTAACTACCACCAGAGGGCCTACCATGACGTGTTATAGCGTGAATCTTAGGGGCGAGAAAGGAGGATGGAGCTAACCTTTTATACCTCCATCCCTCTTTCACGCCCGGAAGATTCATGCTTTAGGCCAACAGATGGCACTATTAACAGTAACCAAAAGCAACTGCCAACCTGTTAGAAATTGCTCAGCGATCACTTCAGACTCTTCGTCAGCCTTCAAAGCAGCTTCCTTCAAGCAATCCCTGATCCGATGAGGATCATACATCTCTGCTAACTTCATATGCTTTCTGTTTAGCTCCTCAAAGTTCATTTTCATTTGAACTATAGTTGAGATACGGTCAATGACCTCAGTCTTTAGATCATCAAGCGCTTGTTGCTTTGCGATGTTCTCTTGGGCTATTCGTTCGATACTAGTCATTAATTCTTCTGTTTCAAGGTCTAATTCTACTAGTTGCGGGTTCACTTCAATGATTTTGTCCTGGAATATACAGAGAAAGAAATTAATTTTTGAATTGACTGCATAGTTTGCATGGTGCTGGACGGCCAGACAGAACAACTCTTTTTTAAATCTACAAATTATTGTTCTGTGTCTGTAAGTGAAATTTGTTATTGTGTCATATACAAGACAAGAGGTTTATGCACAAGATAAAGTTGTTTAATAGTTAGTAAGTAAGCACAAAAGTCATTTTGGTAGAAACAGAAGTAGAGAGAAAAATGCACAGGTCCATACTAATATTGTGTAATTTTTTTTTTTATAAAATTCACGCTTATGCTTTTCTCCTGACATGACACTCAGACCCCAAAACAACAATTTGTGGTTCACACAAGAGTTGTTTAAATTATGTCAAATGTATACACATCCACAATAAAGGCAAAAATTATTGTTTCAAAAAAATAGAAAAGTATTTATATGTAACATTAAAAAGAAATTCTAATTTCCTTGTGAAAAGCTAGACCAATTTCAATAATTCTTGTTTAAATTTGTTTGTTATTATCAGGAGCAAGTTCTTATATAAGAAGAGAGATTTTAGATTTTAGAAAAATAAATAACTGTAAATATATCTGTAAAACTCATTTTTTTAATTTATTTGGTCTTCCAACAGAGAAAACACCTCAAATGCCAGACAATATACATAACAAAATATTTTCTTGTGCTTCTCCACTTATAAGAAGCCACAGCATGCAAATATTATAATATGTAACAGCATGAATACAAATTATTAATGATGTCATTTTTGAGCACAAGAAATGAGATTATAATTAATAAAAATATTCGAAATTATCATCAATAATACTGAATGGCACCAAATACTGAATTTGATAATCAAATAATCTTATTATACTATACTGTTAGATCTTTAAAGCTTAACTGGTTTACTGTATTATTTGACTGCACGGTTGGTGCGGTGGCTGGACAACTGGCTGCCGTGCAATGTGTTGCGGGTTAGATTCCCGCACAGAACAACTCTTTGTGTGATCCACAAATTGTTGTTCCGGGTCTGGGTGTCTTGTGTATGTGAAATTGTATGTTTGTAACAGCACCCACGACACAGGAGAAAGTCCTAAAGTGGGGCAATGTTTTTTTAAAAAGAAAAGAAATAAAAGATTAATTCTCTATTATAAACTTCACTTAAAATATCCTTTATCAAAAACTAAAGGTGGCCATTCGCAAACATATTGTTTTTCTATTGTGTCTCAAAATTACCACTTTTGAAGGGTTAATTAAAAGAGTAACACAAATACAATACATACCTGTAAATCAGTATTCTGCAAAATCTCTTGCAACTCCTCAATACAACAGTCATTTAACTCCGGAAACATCAAAGACTGACCACTGTAATTTGACTGCGGACTAACATCGTTACTTCTAGACACATCGTCAGAATTGGAGAATTTTGGCATTGATTTCTGAAACTCTCTTATTATCGCTTGGACTACACGACCCAAATCTGAATGTAAGGTGTAGTTCAAGAGCCCTGGTGCACCAACAACTTGATTCGAATTTTCTCCAATCCAAGGGTGAGGTATTGGAGGATTAACGAAGATTGACGGCTTTTCATTGGGGAAATCAGGTCCTAGTACAACAGACAAGCTCATATTTTTGCCGTCAGCCACAAATTCGAGTCTGTATTCCGAGTTTTCGTTGACTTCTGTCACATGATCGTTAAAGATTTTAAGCGTATCGATTTGACGCTTTCTCATATCCTGTTCGCTGTAATATTGTCGGGGCAACATCTTTGCGCTTTTTAGTTACTGTAATAAAAACGGGAATTCAATTAAAGTACTGTTCTATTGTTGTTTTTGTCATCCACGGAAAATGGACGACTATGTTTTTTGTTTACACTTTTCTCTAGTAAAACTGGCACTATTTAGACATATATTAAAATAGTAAATTACCTATAATTTGTTAATAGGAGTTATTTTTGTTCTAAAACTATGTTAAAAGGATTTTTCCTTAATATTTTGTGGTACCTACGATCAATACACAAACTTTCAACGGGAGAATGTCATATTGATTGTCATTGCTTCATGACACATGACAGAAAGACAAAAATTATGTCGCCATTACGCAGAGAAAGCAGATTCTAATTGGCTGAAAATATCTGTATAGCTTTTATAACCAATAGAAAGGTCTATATGAAATGTCAAGGTCTAAATCTGTCAAATGTAACACGTTTTGTTGCTTCACTAGTCGGATTAAGTCTACGCAAAGTAGGTATAATAATTTAGAATGAAAAATCTTAATTTTTTGCGATAATTAGTTTTTAATAAATTTTAAAGCCTTTTGATTCATTTTTGATGAATTTACAAGTAAATCGGACGTGTGACGAATAAATGGACGGAAAACAAGGCAGTTTAAAAATTATAGATAGATATATCCAATGACGTTTTATATATAGACACGTCATGAACCAACATCGCGGCGCTTAAAAACGGCGAAAATACTAGATAACTACTTCTACGAGTAAAGAAAGGGAAAGAAAATATGACATCGTGTAATGGAATGCCTTTGCTAGAGGGAGATAAATATACATCTTCAGTTACATCACAGGACAAGTAATAGTAAAACTACATTTTCATAAGATGGCCGCCATAAGATGGCGGGCGCCGGCGTTGAAAAAAATAAAATAAAAGTAGGTTGTTTGGTGAACTTACGCATGAAATGACACATTTTTGTCTTTAACTTTTGGAGTATAATTTGTACATCGTCTGAACACACACGACGGCATGCTTTCTTTATGTTTCGCACAGGTTTACACACACGATATAAATTAAAAACAAACGTAGCGTCGCGCGGCAGGTTGGTGTGTAACTAAGCGTTATGTTGTCAATTGCCTTCATTTCATGTTGTCATTTTAGAGCGCGGACAAGGTATCTATAGTTTTATACATCATTGGATATATCACACTAAATCCGCCTGGCCACCACCAGCATCTTTACAATCATAAGGGGTCACCAATTCGTTCCTTCGTTCAATTTCTGTAGACCTTTGAATTGTGATCGACACTGCCCAATGTATTATTATATTTGTTTTGAAATATAAATAAACTATTACGGTTACACCCCGGATGAACATCGGCACTAGTGGGCCCCATCTGCAGATGTCTATTGGGTCTTTGAGACCCACGCTTAAAGTGGCCAGAGAGTTTTGCATTAGTGGACATGTGTTTGCTAAAGTTATAAGTTCATGACATTAATGAAGGTAACACCAACCGAATCGAAGTTCCACGTTTTGTGTAAGCGTAAAAAATAAAACTATTATGTAGGTAGTAAGTAATATATCTATTTACAAGGATAAACATCATCATGAAATGCGTCACACGTATAAAGTCAAAGCATTTATTTCAATTATAATCATAGAAAAAAGGCAATCATTTTCTTATGATTATCTAAGTACGTAGGTACGTTAAGGTTTTGGGACAATTTTCTAAATCGATAAATAATTTTTGGAAAAACCTGACGAAGTTGGTAGGTAATTTGTGCCCTGCGGATTGTGGTAATGTAGCGTAAGGAGAATATTGAGTACCAACAGTACCATGTACCAGTGTATGTACCATTACTGTAAATTGTGCACTCACACTTTCAACTCATAGATTCATCTTAGAAAATTCTCTGTTGAAAAACTGAACTGAACGAAGCTCTAAGGAACGAAGACGAAAGCTCTAAGGAAGCTTCTCAATTAGTCGACAGAGTGCAACGTTGGCATTATCCGACTTCAGTGATGGTTTGGTGGGGTGTTAGCTATGAAGGAGTGACTTAGCCATACTTTTGCGAAAAAGGTATCAAAACATCGGCACAGGTGTATCAAAATACCATTCTTGAGAAGGTAGTTAAGCCCCTTAACAACACCATGTTCAATACCCAACAATGGTCCTTCCAGCAAGACTCGGCGCCGGGTCATAAAGCTCGGTCCACGCAGTCTTGGTTGGAAACGAACGTTTCCGACTTCATCAGAGCTGAAGACTGGCCGTCGTCTAGTCCCGATCTTAATCCGCTGGATTTTGATTTATGGTCAGTTTTAGAGAGTAGGGCTTGCTCTAAACGTCATGATAATTTGGACTCCCTAAAACAATCCATACGATTGGCAGTGAAGAATTTTCCCATGGAAAGAGTGCGTGCTTCTATTGATAACTGGCCTCAACGTTTAAAGTACTGTATTGCAGCCAATGGAGACCACTTCGAATAAGCTTTTTATATTTAAATTGTATAGAAAAAATATTTTTTTTATTTGTTACAGTATTTATGGCTAGACTAGGTTTATTAAGCGACTTATTAAGCGTTCATTAAAATAAACACATTACAATATTTATGTATACTTACTTACAACGATATAGGAACTTATTTTCCTAATAAAAGTGCTAATTAGCAATTATAAGAATAAATAATGTTATTTAAATATCTTTATAGTTGTATGCGAAATACAGGATATAATGTGTACCTATATTAAATAAGTGATTTGCATAATAAGATTGTAAATTTCCTAACTTACATAAAGGACAAACCAAAAGGACAATACTTTTAATAAGATAGGTCGACCACCGAGTAGACAGATTACCTGGTGGTAAGCAATCGGCGCCGCCCATGGACACCCACAACACCAAAGGAGTTACGTGTGCGGATATAAGGATTGGGAAGGGATAGGGGAAGGGGAGGGATTGGGCCTCCGGTTACCTCACTCACACGGCGAAACACAACGCTGTGGGTTGTTTCACGCCGGTATTCTGTGAGGCCGTGGTATCACTCCGGTCGAGCCGACCCATTCGTGCCGAAGCATGGCTCTCTCACAATTATAGCTGGAGAGCCGGTGAACCCTGGGAGTAACGGTCTCTCTAAAATAAACTTTATCAGAAACATTCGTAACGATACTAAGGGAAGATAGGGGTCACGTCAAGACATCGTATTTTGAAGTCTGGTTCAATTAGAATTCTCATCCTTTTTTGGAAAAAGTTGGTCACGTTATTTGTAACAATATTTTTATCTTGAGAATTAACTTGACCTAAAAATTGGTAGATAAGTATGACGAACGTCAAATCGATACTAATATTATAAATGTGGCTGTTTGCTTGTCCATCTATTTACCTAAGAGTCTTAGATGAAAGTACTTCGATTCACGTCTCTTTTAGATCTGGCCCTATATCATGATAATTATAAATTGTCCTGTGTTGTTAGTGCGTTTACAAATTAAAAATTCGATAAACGAAACAGTGACTTGCACAGCAACCGCATCTACTCAGCCACTGCGCAACCAGACCTTTGTCCTTGACAAGAAAGAGGAGGAGAAGAAACAGGGGGGTTTTTAGTCAGTAAGAGTCTGACACTCCTCGTCAAATTTTCTCTTTAAAATGCCAGGCAAAGTCACGACTAACAAGCTAAGTTTTAGTACCTATAAAAGTGGGGATTTTTCATTGCGTTATGACGTCATCATTAGTCATTTCTTGTCGTTGTATGTCAAGTATCTTGTTACCAAGGATATTCAAAAAGCATAAACATTTTGCCAGTGGAACGACTTAGTTGAGGCAAATATTTTTTTATGTGACACGGTGGAAAACGAACTTATGGAATAGCTGATGGTAAGCAGTTAGCGCCACACAAAGCCTTGATACATAATTATTACAAACAGTTACGTCTCGTCGACATCGTAGCCCATCAAAAGGGACATGACAGGTATTACAAAGTCAAAGTCAAAGTCAAAATCATTTATTTCAATTAGAGCCATACAGGCACTTTTGAACGTCAAGACAACTTTAAAGATACAAAGTGTCAGTCTGTCGGTCAGTCCTCTTAGTGAAGCTATTCGCTCGTTCCAAAGTGTAGATTCCGATGGAGAAGAACGAGCAAGAAACTCCATGGTTACTCTTTTAAAATCAGTGTCACATAAACATTCGAATAAAGTGTACAAGAAGGATATAAGAAAGGGATCGCAACACCGAGGAAAGAAAGTGACCTATAATTCAAGTAATAGAATAAGTTGGAAATATCAATTCTTCCATTTCTTTTTAACCATGTCATAGGACAGCAAACGAGCAGACGGATTACCTGATGGTAAGCAATCGGTGCCGCTCATAGCCATCCGCAACACCAGAGAATTTACGAGCGCGTTGCTGGTCTTTTGAGGATCAGGGTTTCGGAGATGTAGGGATAGGGGGAGGGGAATGATTGGGCCTCCGGGAACCTGTTTCACGCGGCGAAACACAGCGGTGTGATTGTTTCACGCCGGTTTTCTGTGAGACCGTGGTAGTACTCCGGTCGAGCCGACCCATTCATGCCGAAGCATGGCTCTGCGACACCTAAATCTATCTAAAAAGGTTGCCTACCTTCCATATCTTGTTAACATGGAAAATTTTCTTCGTTAAACATTTATTAGCCATTTACGTCACATACTAGCAATTTTATTTAAACAACATAAATCTAGCGGAAATTGCATATTACAATATATTTACTACTTAATGTTATTTTAATATATTTGTCGAATGTCTTTTTAGGTACTAATCATTACTGACTGTGTTTGCAAAAACAAGGAAGGGAAGTGACGACTGGGTTTCTCTTTAAAATAATTGAAATACATGTTTAAGTACTTAGGTAAGTCGTGGTGCCATGAAGGTTATGGCGTCCGCTGCTCTTGCATGAGACCTTTTTTTTCCGAAAGTCCTCATGGAGACTCCTCACCCTCGGGGAAGGGCGAAGGGTACTGTCAGTTTCTGACTAAAAACCAACCCGGTGTTCCTCAAATTACCCATGTGTCATAGGGGCGGGTGTCGCTGATGCATTCGTCGCAACCCCCCGAAGGTTATTGGCCCGCCAGATGGTTTGGCGGGCCAAGTCACCCACTGCGGCCGTCGCCATCATGCATGAGACCTGGCAAGTACCAAAGTAATTCTTTCCGAGTTACGTAAACCTATGTACTTTCTATTATTATTTAGACACCATTGACATACTGAAGGAAAATATCGTGAGGAAACCTAGACTTAATAATTTCGATTTATAAGTATGAAATCGCCAATCCACCTTTGCGCAGCAGTGGAGA